TCTCTCTCTCTCTTTCTCATGCAAACACACACACACACACACACACACACTCACACACACACACACACACACCCACACACACACACACATACACACACACTCACACACACATTCACACACACAAAAAAGTCTCATTTTTGCGACAACAAATATTTGTCTAACTGTCTGTCGTCAATGTACGTCATCGGCTTCTTCAGCGTGCACACTTCTGCTTGATCCCTCCACCTCCCACCTCGTTTTGTATTCCCAACCCCAACAAAACACACAGACAGACAAAAATAAACGAAACAAAACAAAGATATGTCACTGGTGGTCAGCTCCTATCTGCCTCTCTGCTCGCTCTCGCACTTGTCGTGAGACGTCCTTCAATTGTGTTGATGTCGAGACAGGTCTGTAATAATATCTTCATCCTCCCCAAAAAACAAAAAACAAACAACAACAACAACAACAACAACAACAAAAAACTCACATACAACAAAAACACACACCAGAAAAAAAGACCAAAAGAAAACTACTCGACCCTCAAAAAGAAATGCGTTTGATTCATAAATAAATAAATAATAATAATAATTTAAACAATTTTCAATTAGCCTTACGTCAGTCCTAAGCCTTTGACCACCTCCGGTTGGGACCTCAGTGGGGAATGGATTGTTCTAATTTTATAAGAGTTACATTTTCAAGAAGCATTGGCCACTCTCTCCTCAAAACACTAAATGTTTTCCCCCGTTTCGTTTCCGAAACTTTTAGCCAATTCTAGGAAATTTCGCGACATTTTCACATTACATTACAGATACGCCAGTGTTTCCTCGGTTGTTTTCCTTTAATTGTTGTCATGTCTAGTTCTACGTCATTGTAAGTTACACAAGGTCGGCTACACTGGGCTACATTGTCCCGTCAAGACTTAAGTCCAAAAATATATCTCCAAGCCTGGCGGAAGGTTCTTTGTATGTTTTGTCGACTTTTTTAAAGCATTTGACTGGGTTGACAGAGAAAAGCTTTGGACAGTATTGAGAAGTCCTGGCGGTTCTGGACCAATGTATACCATTATTTGGACAAATATGTGTCAAAGTGTTCTTTCATGTGTTAAAGTCTGTTCAGATGAACGAGGATCCATGAAATCTTACATTACTGAATACTTCCAACGTACATCAGGTGTCAAGCAAGGCTGCATACTTAGCAACCTTATATTATTTTCTTTGTTTATACCAATGCTATACAGGTATTGCCCAATGATAATGATGGTATTTTATGTTTAATGTACGCTGATGACCTAAGTCTGTCAGAGGTTTACAAAAGAAAATCAATGTGTTACATGATTTCTGCCAGATGTGGGGTTTAAAAGTGAATACAGAGAAAAGTAAGATTGTTGTTTTTAGAAATGGAGGCTATCTCAAAAGATCTGAGAGATGGTATTGGGAGGATAAGATCTTAGAGACAGTAAAGTAGTTACTTGGGCATTTCATTTTCATCGCGTCTATGCTGGAGACGAACGCTGGAAAATCGAGCTTGTAAAGCTCAACGGATTGTTTCTTGAACAAGAAAGCTTCTCGGTTCTTTCCAAGAATTAAATTTCGAAACAGCAAAAAACATTTTTGATATAAAGATTAAACCAATGCTGTTTTATGACTCTGAAATTTGGGGTACCAAAAACTGGGACGTGATTGATTATGTTCAGGTAAAGTTCTGGAAAGCCTTTTTGAGTCTTGGCAAAACTACATCCAAATGTTTAGTTCTAAGAGAAGTGGGAAGAACCAACTGATGTTCTGATTCCATGCATTGTGTCATTCAATTCTGGTGCAGACTTATACACTTAGAAAATGACAGATATCCAAAGAAATGTTACATGCAATTATATCGTTCCTGTGAACTGGGCAGAGTCAACTGGACTACGGAAGTTAAAAACCGATTATTATTCTCCCTGGGTTTTGGATATGCCTGGTTTTCTCAAAATGTTGGAAGTACTAGACTCTTTCTCAGTGAAGTAAAAAGTAGACTTGTTGATCATTCTGTGCAGAACATAAAGGAAGAAGTCTGTCGCAAGTATAATGCTTTCTCTCTTACAATTCCTTTTCAAGAAACTGCTGAGTATACATGTATCACCAGCCTCCCACAGTATTGAAGCAGAAGAGTCACAGCTTTGTTAAAAACCCATAGCCTTCCATTAAATAACAATCTCTATCGGTGGAAATTAACTAACTCGCCCTTATGTGAGAGGTGTAACTTTCTTGAAATTGAAGATGAATTTCACTTTATTTTCTATTGTTCTCACTTTGTCCATCAAAGGAAATTGTTAATCCCTCCCAGCCTGACTCGGCCCAGTGATAGAAATATGCAATGTTTGGCTCATGATAAGAGATATGTGCACAACCTGTACTTATTCATTATGGAAACTTTATTCATCAAATGAGTGTTTTATGTGATGTGACGTGATGTGATGTGACGTGACGTGACGTGACGTGACATGATGTGATGTGATGTGATGTGATGTGACGTAACGTGATGTGACGTGATGTGATGTGACGTGACGTGACGTGATGTGACGTGACGAATAAACGTACTTACTATTGTCCCGTCAGCGCCGTCACGTGAGCCCTGGCTGCAGCTGTTGCGCGAACTTTCATCCAGCTAGCGCTTGAAAGTCGTAGGTTCCAACCTCGTATGGGACATGCATTAATTGGTGTCAGGAGCAAAAGTCACAGACCACCATTTAGTTGTTGTTTGTTTGTTTGTTGGGGGGGGGGGGGTATTTTTAATGGAATGCCACCTTTGTGTTTAAAATTTTTATTTTTTATTCATATGTTACTCTCAAGTCCCACCTAAAACTCTTTGGCACTTATATGAACTAACTGTGTAACTAATCTTAATGCCATACAGTTTGGTAAAACAAAACGGTAACACTTTTTTATCTGTGTTTTCCGTTCCTCAGCACGTGTTCTCGGACAAGCCCTGGGGGACCAGTCAGTTCAACGGTCTGCTCCAGTCCTCAGACGTCATCACTAGCCACCTGTCCTGTGTGCAGGAACTGACAGGCGCCGAGCTGCCAGACGTCTACCACAAGCCTCTGGGTGGCAGCGTCCTGGTGGATCTACGTCACGTGACCGGGTGTGAGGCCCGGGACTTTGATGACCCGCCCTACCCCATCGCCAACAACACCGTGGCTCTGGCCAGGTGAGTGAACGGTGGCCTTGACTCAGGGCGTGAACCTGTTTTATGCTTTGTGTCTGTAAATATGTCGCCCTTGCAGGTGGGTAGCCCAATAGTTTTGCTATGGGGGAGCAAAGAATCCACCTGCCGTGATACCGTGTGTCGTAAGAGACGACTAAAGGTGCATAGGTCTGGTTGCTCGAAAAGTGCCAAAGGTAAAAGTAGCGAGAAAATGGCCACCAAAGTTTGGTTAAATACCACTTGGTGTCCAAAATTGATAACAGTAGGCTTCGGCCGCCACCCGGGCAAAATTTTTAAAAAATTCTACCAAACTGAAAATGTTTTTAAGTGTCCCGCGCGCTCATATGAACTTGTGCAGTTGCGAGCACCGTAACATACTTACCAAAAAGAAAAAAAAAACAACAACACTTTTTCTTCTGCAGCAAAAGAGCAGACAATGACCGTACATAATTATGTCACATCTCTCCTGTAGAAATAAAACAGACAATGACCCTACATTTGTTCCATCTCTCTTGCACTTGTAGAAATAGAGCAGTCAATGACCTTACGTTACTTTTGTCACATTTCTCCCGTGGTGATACAGCAGACAATGACCTTAAATATTATGTCACATCTCTCCTATAGGAAAAAAATAGACAATGATCTTACTTTTGCCCCATCTCTCCCTTCCCCAGGGGTAACTGCTCGGTCCTGGAGAAGGCTCAGATTGTCCATGAACGACTCGGAGCCGCCCTGCTGGTCGTGGACTACATGGGTCACCCCTGGACCAACACGACCTCGCCAACTTCTCGCTCTTCCACAACACCTCCATACCTGTCGCGCTCATCCAGGGCCGCCAGTTCGCAGAGGTCAGGGAACTCACAGACCCTGTGACCGTGAACCTTCTCAGCCGGGGCGGACCCAGATTTGGGCTGAGTCTCACTCTCCTCCTCTTCCTGAACCTTTTCGTTATTCTCATCGCTGGGTTATGGTCAGGGGTCAAGGACTCCAACAAGGTCACGCTGGGACTGAAACCTGTGGTGGCTATCCACAAATGTTTATCTGACCGACCGGAGGAGAGGTTTATTCACAGATTGGACCGGCTGGCGTTGGGCAAGGTTGGGGTGGTTGCTGTGATGCTGCAGCTGGTGATCGTGTCTGTGTTCCTGTACTGCGCCTACTACCTCATGGTCTACGTTCTCCTGGTGTTCTTTGGTGGTGCCGCAGCCGGAAGTCTGTGCTTTGTGCTCCGGCGACTCGTGGACTGGCTCATGAGTGGATGTAACAGGTGCTGTGAGGGCAGTGTCAGGGTGCGCGGCTCGGAGGTCAGTACTGCTGCTGGTGGTGGTATTGTTGTGGTTGTTGTTGTGTTGTACTAGTTCTTAGAAGTAGTTGTAGAAGTAGTAACTGTTGTTGTTGTTGTTGTGTTGTACTAGTTCTTAGAAGTAGCTGTGGAAGTAGTAACTGTTGTTGTTGTCGTTGTTGTTGTTCATGTAGTGGTAGTTGTTCTTATTCATGTTGTAGTAGTAGTCGTCGTTGTTGATTTTGTTGCTGTTGTTATTATAATGATAATAATAATAATATTAATAATAATAATATTAATAATGATAATAATAATAATAATAATAATAATAATAATAATAATAATAATAATAATAATAATAATAATAATAATAATAATAATAATAATAATAATAATAATGATAATAATAATGATAATAATAATAATAATAATAATAATCTGAATTTACGTCTATATATTACCGCAAATAGATAATAGATTACCCCAACAGACCTGATCACTTTCTGAAACCACCTTAACTTCCTGGGAAGCATACATTTTTTAGTCTGGAATAAACATTATTTGTATCATGTGATTGATGTAACAAAAGCGCCCAGACCTTATACTAGAATGGGATAGAGCGCTATATACATGCAATATTATTATTATTATTATTATTATTATTATTATTATTATTATTATTATTATTATTTATATTATTATTATTTATATTATTTATATTATTATTTATATTATTATTATTATTAACTCACTACTCACTCGGCTACTCCCTCGGCTCCTAAAGCCCCCCCCCCCCCCCCCTTCCAAGCTACAACTGCCTTTTTGTCGATGTTTCCAGTAGTTTCCCTAAATCCCAGTGGCCTCAATGCTCTTGTTTCTCTTCTTTTTTCCTATCCTCTCAGCCCGCTCCTTAGTGGGTGGTTGGCGGGTGCTCTGGTTTGCTTCTTCTTTCCTATCAAACAACTGTCGTCCTTATCTCCCCTCCTTCTTTTTTGTGTTTGTTACTCTCTTGTAACTCCTTGGCGGGTGCTCTGGTGTGGTTTGCTTCTTCTTTCCTATCAAACATCTGTCGTCTTTATCTCCCCTCCTTCTTTTTTGTTTTTGTTACTCTCTTGTAACACCTATAATCTTCTGGCGCTCATATAACCTTATGCAGTTGCGAGCGCCGTAAAACCTCTAATAAAACTAAAAAAAACTAACTCCTAATCTTCGGCACCTATAACCTTATCGTGATGCAAGTGCCGTAAAACTCTTACTTAACTAAAACTAAATGACCGTTATGGAGTCGATGTGCTCCTCTTTAGTCAAACAACAAATATTTAACAAACAAACGTTTCCCCCTCTTGTCTTCCCAACAGGTCCGCATCAGCACCATCTTCCTGGCCGTGGGCTGCCTCGTGGCCTTCATCGCTTGGGTGCCCAACAGAGCCGCTTGGTGGTACATCCAGGACGCCTTTCTGATGGTCATCTGCTTGACCTTTGTCCGGCTGTGCCGACTCGCCAGCCTGAGGGGGGTCACAGTCTTCATCCTGGGTCTGTTGGCCTACCACGGCTTCATCTTCCTCATCATCGGCGTTGAGTCCCTAGACTCGTTCCCAAAGAACCAGGACTTCTGGACCATGCCAGCCGCCGCCCCGCACTACTCTGGGGAGAGATTGTCCTGGGTGTTCACGGTGCCCATCTACAGGGACGTGTTCATCCAGACGTGCTCCCAGGTGCCCTACGTGTCCGCGGCCATCATTGACGTCATCGTCAACGGTCTGCTCCTCTCCTACGTGCTCAGCTACGACCTCCTCATGGCCACCGGCTTCTCCTACACCGTCTTGGCAGTCTGTGCTTACGTCATCGGTCTGGTGCCGGGGATCTTGTTCATGTACGTCACAGGCCACACGGAGACCACGCCCATGTACATCCTTCCCACAATGCTGCTGATCATTCTGTTCAACGCCTGGTTCCGGCGGGAGCTGAAAGTCTTGTGGTACGGCAAGCACCTCACGTCTGACTTTCCGCAGATGAGGCAGTCGTCAAACAACAACTCTGGGCTGGACGTTCGTGGAGACAGCGATGACACCCCCCCAGGAGAACACACAGAGACCACCAGCCTACTGGCCGGCCAACACAGTGTGGACATGAGTAGTCTAAATGTTGGACAATACAGTATGGACATGAACAGTCTACATGCGGGCCACTACAGTATGGACATGAGCAGTATACTCTCACGGCAACACAGTGTGGATATGACCAGTCTACTCGCGGACGAATATAATACGGACATGACCAGTCTACTCGCGGACCAATATAATACGGACATGACCAGCCTATTCGCAGGCCAACACAGTACGGAGACCTCCAGAATCCTGGGACCCCGTAGGGCTGAGTTAACCAGCATCATGGCAGAACACGGGATGTCTCTGAAACACGCCAACCGTCTCCAAATGGTCCCAATGCCCCCGTCCCCTTCCTGTCCCCGGGACCTCTATCCTGGATTCAGAGCGGCGACAAACTTTCAACCCAGTTACGTGCTGTCAGATTACTTCGAAAGTATGCGCTGGCCCGTATTTTCTTCCTCTTCCCGGGAGGTCTCCATTAACACCGACGACAACAACGCAGAAAAAGACGACACCTACACAATCACGGGCGACTGCAGCAAAAGAAATATCGGTCGTAAGAAGCGCAAACGCGTCCGCTTTGAGCCCACCCGTGTGTCCCCCATCCCAGAGGAAGTCCCCACCCCGGAGACATCGGAGGAATCTCCCACCCCGGAGAACTCCGCCGTCGCCGACTTCTTCCCATTGCCGGACACATTCCCATTGCCGGACACATTCCCATTGCCGGACACATTCCCATTGCCGGAATTCTCTCCTTCGAAATACCCCACTCGGGCACAACAGTGAGAGATCTACACTCTC